ATTTCATAATATTTAATATTATAATTTCTATGACTGTCAATATTTTTACCTTTTTTTACAGGAAACACTGATCTTATACATTTAGAAATTGAAGATTTAAGGAAAAAAAAAATTTGTTCTGATCACTTTTTAGCTGATGATTATTTAAATTTCTCAAAAAAAATTTTAAAGCGTAGTGCTGTACCAGTGCCGTATGAACCTGTAGTGCCGTTTCATGTACGCTCACCAAAAAAACTCTACACATATCCTTATAAATCTTCTGAGAATATGTGCAATTTAGATCCATCTTCAATTTCAAATTATAAATCAACTCCTCTTTCACCTTCATCATTTAAAACTCCAGTCAAACAAAAATTATCATTTATTGATAATTCTGATTCATGTTGTCTTAACTTTGAATCGCCAAAATCTATTCATTTGCTAACACCAACAAAAACTAATTTAACAATAGGATCAAAAGATAACACACCAATTTTAACTCCAAAAACTCGATCATGGTTAGATAGTACACTTAATATGCCAGAATCTTCATCTAATTTTGAAAAACAAATTCAGAAACTAACAGAAACTACAAAAAAACAATCAAATTACATTAAAAAAATGAAAGAAAGAATGGAATTTAAACAAAAAGTGATTTCAAATAAACGTTCAACCATAGCAAAACTTAAAAAAAATCTTAAAAATTCAAGACATTTATTTAAAAACAAAAATATTTTTAATTCTTCAAGTTTTCCATCAACCGATTCTCAAACTCTGGTTAAAATGCAAATCCGTCAAAACATCAGTAGAAAACCATGGACAAACCTTGAAAAAGATTTTTCCCTTAGACTTTATTACAAGTCTCCATCAGCTTACACATTTTTAAGATCAACAAAAATTAATTTACCTGGTTTAGCAACAATTAAACGTTGGGTTGGTGCTTCTAAATTTAGGCCTGGTTTTAATTCTAATTTATATCAACAAATAAAAATGAAAGTTAGCTCAATGACATATGAAGAAACATTTTGCACCTTAATTTTTGATGAAATGAAAATTAAACGATTTTTAGAGTATTCAAAGGTTTTAGATACTGTAGAAGGTTTTGAGGATTTAGGAACTTTTGGGAGGACTTCAGCTATGGCAAGTCAAGCTATGGTTTTTATGATAAGAGGAATTTATTCATCGTGGAAATTACCAGTATCATATTTTTTATCTTCTACATCGATGAAAGCCACTACTCTTTCAGAAATAATTTTAGAACAGATTAATCAGTTGATGACTTGTAAGCTCCATGTGAAAGCAATTGTATGTGATCAAGGACCTAACAATAGATCTGCTTTAACCAAACTTGGTTTTACTAAGGACAAACCCTGGATTGAAGTGAATGGAAATAAAATATTTTCAGTTTATGACGTTCCACATCTTATAAAAAATATAAGAAATAATTTTTTAAGTAGTGATTTTATATTTAAAAATAATAAAGTTTCTTTTCAAGATATAAAAAAAACATATATGATTGATAAAAGTAGTTCAACTTCTCGTTCTCTTTTAAAAATTACTGACTCTCATATTAATCCCGGCCCTTTTAAAAAAATGTCATGTAAACTGGCCTTACAAATATTTAGCAAGTCAATGTTTGCCACTATGCGTACTTGTATTATGACACAAGAGTTAAAATCGCCAACTGCCGCCCATACTGCCGAGTTTGTAAAAGAAATAAATAACTTATTTGATTGTTTGAATAGTCAATCTCTTTATTGTTCAAATCCTTATAAATGTGCTATTTCTGAAGAAAGACCACTAATACGTTTGCAATTGGAAGAAGCTAAACGTTGGTGTTCACAGTTGAAAAAATGTAAAGGCCATGGTCGGCCATATACTTTTGATGGTTTAGAGTGGACAATAAATGCAATATTGGGTGTGTATGAAGAACAAAAGAAAATCGGTTTTCATTACTTGTTAACTGCTCGCTTAAATCAAGATGCTATTGAAAACTCATTTTCAGTTTTTCGGCAAAAGGGTGGATATAATAATAATCCAACTGCAAGGGCTTTTAGAATAACTTTCAAAATGATGACAAAAATGCATCTGATGAAACCTTCAATAGCTTCAAACTGTGAGGCCGATAATGACCATAATATCTTAGAAGTTGATTCATATACAAATGTATTGGAAAATAATGACAACAATGATGATTTAATGGATAGTTCATCTTTGTCTTTTTCATTTGATGATGATGAATCTATTGAAATTCCTATGGTATCTCTGTCTAAATGCTCTGATAAATATTTTAGTGGATATTTGGGTAAAAAATGCATTGAAAAATTTAACTGTAAAAAATGTCAACAATTTATGCTAACAGCCACACCAATTAATTTTAGTGATGAAGATTATTTAATTTTTTGTAGAGCATATGGATCAAAATCAGGTCACTTTGGCTTGAATGTACCAACAGATGATTTTACAAATTATATTTCACATTGTCAAAAATTACTGGCTAAAATTGTTTTAAAAACCCCTCATAAACTACAAATTGGATTAAGTGTTAAAAAGTTGATTGTTAAAAAAATATGGCCCAATCTTGATATTGATTCAGAATGTACATCTCATTTAGAATTTGTTACAATGCATCTTATTGAATGTAAATTGTTAAGAGATTTTAACTGGAAATCAAGAAATATGAAAGTTCAAACCTTATCAAAGTTAAAAATATTAAAAAATGTTTGATCAAATTTAGTTAAGTATACAATCAATGTGTTTTTTTTTTAATTGTATTTTATTATACTTTACTTCTATATTATTAATTATAAGGTAATTTATTATAAACGACTTAAATAGTTCAATGTATAATAAATAAATAAGTCTTCAGCTGGAATTTCAATTCCGAAAAAAAAAGTAAATTAAATCGTTTTAAAAAGTTACATAATATTGTATTATATATCGGTTAAATTTAACCGGACATAGTATAAGAACCAGCCTAATAATAATAATAATTAATAAATAATAATAATAATAATCTTTTAGATTATTTCTTATCTCATTGATTATTTCAAATTTCCAAGAATGAACTCTGAACTGACGACGATTTTCGGCACTACTGTTATCACTGGTATTTTTAATATTTTATTTCCAACATAAATAATTTAATTTTCAACCGTGACTCTGCACGCCCTCTATTGACATATTATGCTATTAATTAACTAGTTTCCATAATGCCGATTGACGTGGGCTATCTATGTATATTTAATCAATGTTCGCGTACTAAAATTGTTAATCGGAGAGTCATAGTAATTATTTCCATAATTCTATGCATTTCCGCTGTAGTATAAGGTACCGGTAAATGTTCATTGGCTACTCTCATATGGTTTTTTAGACACGTAGGTCCATCATTGTTTATCGTGTACTGGTATACGTGATCGTTGTACCTCAACGAATATTCTAACATTAGGTATAATACCCGTCTAGGAATGAATTCCCGTACTGGCATTGTTGTTATGTATTTTATACGTCTTTTACGCGTTGTATAATAAAAGTAATCTGGATTTTCCGTGTGATTGTCTTATCTGGAACAAGACAAGATACTAACATCGATTGGTTATTAATTATTATATTATGTAGTAATAGGAAAGGTACGTGTTTAATATTGGAACATAATTTTGAACATGAAATTGAGAGTGTGTGTGTACGTGATCTTACTTACAAACGTGTTACTTCGTCCATTTCTCTAGCTGACTGTAGTGACACTAAATGTCGCCTAACTCTATTTACTGATCGATTATTACTCATTTTTCTTTTACATTTTATTATAATTATACCCGATGCTATTATTATTATGAGATAAAACATATAAGTGTGAAAATCGGTTATATCCCTTGTGGTCGTTTTGTCCTTTTCTTCTTGTATTAATTGTTCTATTTCATCAATGGATTTAGAATATTGACTCAAGTCAGTTAGTTTTACCACAGAATTTGTGTGTGTTATGACATTGCTTATTTTCTTTTTTATGGAAATGGGGATTGTCAAATTTGACGTTATGCCTATGTTTGATATAAAATCCTTATAATGTGTCGAATTTAAATGCCTATTCGGTGTTAGCACCATTTGTGGTGTGTATCCCCTGCAGTCCTCGTTTAATTTTAATATTCCTATCCCGCTTAATTGTATATTCATCGCCTGGTCTCGATTCTCGCACGAGATGGCTACATTGTCCGTTGTTTTTATTGTATATATCCATGCGTTCTGATATTTTAGTTTATGATAAATACTACGAGTGATGTCTAGATAATGTATTGGGCACGTGCTAGGTATGCTCGATGGTTTAATAAATAATTCTACTTCACATGGCAGCTCGCTGGCTCCTAGTCTTAATGGTTGTGTTTCCGGACATAATGTTCCCATATTAATTTGTCTACACATCAGTAGCTGGCTAAATGATAATGTTAAATAATATTCATGCGTTTTTGAAATGGCTATGTACCCATATTCAGGTATTATGTGCATATAATGATCATTTTTTACTACTGGTAGTGGTATTACGTGGAATAATGTTAAATCAACTGAGTTTATTAGTGGTATTATTATTTCGAATATTAATGTTTCGTTTATGTAAATTATATTTAATTTTGACATTTTACTTAGTTCATATAGCGATATTTGATTTAAATCGAACGGTAAGCTTTGTCCTTTTGGAACGTTCATTGAAATATCTTTTAATTGCTTACGTAATTCCATAGCGGATATTATGCTTGAATGTATTATACCACCTTGTGCGGCTATTATTACTTCGCAAATTGTGTCGGTTTCGAAACTTAACTGTTGAAATATTAAATTTAATATATTTATTTGTTCGTTAATATTACTTTTTGCTTCTACGATATCTAAATTGATTACGGTTTGATTTACCGTTGTTGCCATTCGATTGTATAATGTGCTAAGTTTATTTATCTGACCTACCATTTGGGTTGCCTCCTTAAATGTATTTTCGGTTGCTTTCAATATGCTAGTTTGTTTTTCTACTATTTTTAATAAATTATTTCGACTAGTTTGTAATTCCTCGATTTGTTTATCATATGTTTCTGCGTCACTTCCTGTTCAAGGCTGATGGACGCAATCTTAAAATTTTCACAAAGTGTTTTAAACATGCCTTCGTATACTATTGTTAAATCGTCACATAATTTTATAGTTTTATCGTAAAAATACATAGTTTCCTTTGTACGTTGATTAAAGTTATCTAATTTTACATATATTATCAATTTCCAATCAGAATTTGTTAATCGAAGTGGTCCCTGATTTTCAAAGTACATCCCATTTTCTTGGGACAGTTTCGAAGTTTGATACGGCTTTGGTTGTGCCAATGCAACTTGGAGCATGACGATCGTCATCATGATCCTAAAAGTTTTCTTATTAATTAATTACATATTCGTATTTTATTCATTTTTTTTTTAACTTAGATTCTCGTGGAATTTTTTCACGTGGTTTTTATGCACCGTGACGTGTCTTTTCCCGCGCATTATTACTATATTTTCTTTGTCTAATACATCGGTTACTTCATAGGGGCCTGTCCATAATGGATTTAGTTTATTCTTTTGCGCGCGTTCCCTTAATAAAATTTGATCTTTTACGTGTATTTCTATAGGGTTTTTATTGCTATCATAATTCTCTTTGGATTTTATTTTACATTTTATTAGCCTTTCTCTTGCTATTTTATGAGCCTCCTGCATTTTCTGTTTTAAATCAAAATAGTAATTGTCATAATTATATCTAGGTTCAGGTTCTCGTGATAGCTTAATTGGTATCTCTAAATGTTTACCGTATAGTAGAGAATATGGTTGATATCCCGTTGATGTGTGCTCCGTAGTATTATAAACGAAAAATGCGTAGGGCAAGTACTCATCCCAATTGTTTAATTTCTTATCGACATAATGTCTGAGGTAGTCTGATAATGTCCTATGTGATCTCTCCAAGGCTCCATTGGCCTCCGGGCGATAAGAACTTGTGTTTATTTTATTTATTTGCAATAATTTGCATACCTCGGTAAATATTTTACTTAAGAAATCGGTTCCCTGATCGGTTAATATGGTTTGTGGTATACCGTGTGTGCATACAAAATGTATTACGAATGCTTCGGCTATAGTATTAGCTTGGTGATTTGGGAGGGGAACGCCCATGGTGTATTTTGTTAAATCGCATTGAATTGTTAATATATATGTATTCCCTGCTAATGTAGTGACCAACGGGCCAACGATATCTAAACATATTTTTTCAAATGGCTCAAAACTAGTGGTCGTAATTACCATCGGTTGTTTTACCTTTCTATTCGTGACCTTTTTCTTTTGACATGATGCACAATTTTTTATATATTCGATTACATCTTGTTTTAAACCTCGCCAATTAAATTGCGTTTTTATTTTCTTTATGGTTCTATGTATTCCGACGTGTCCGCCGGTTACGGAGTCGTGACATTGTTTGAATATGATTAATTTTTCCTCATCACTAAATTCTAACTTGGAACAAATAATTATGTCTACTCCTGTGTTTCGGAAAACATATCGAATCATAGCACGTACTTGAGCCCATTCTAATCGGTCGTTAAAACCTAATTTATTCATATCTAATTTATTCAATGAGTGTTCTTCACATAATAGTTTTAAATTCAATAGAGACAAATAAATATTTTCGTATGTCGCCTTTTGTTTGTTTCTACTTTTGGTAGTTAAGAATATTATATATCTATTTTTGTCACGTAAATAATTTACTTCCCCGATTGCTTTGCTAGGTGTTAATTTTTGACCGTTGCCAAATTTTTGTTTTATTTCGTAATTTATTCCTGACATAAAATTATAATGTTTTTCTATCTCCGAGACTATGTGATATTCCTCGGGTGCTTCTATTAGACTACCGTTTACTTCTTTTACGTATTTATTAGTTATTAACTGTGTTTCGAATTTATTTAAAAATGCGGGATAGCTTTCCTCTTTTATCTCATTTATGGTATACGGTATACATTCTGGTCAGAGCATCGACGTTTGAATTTAATACTCCAGGTTTATAACGAATCTCATAATCGTATTCCTCTAAAAGTATTCGCCAACGTGCGAGTTTCGATAGGGGGTCCTTTAAATTAAATAACCATGAAAGTGCGCGGTGGTCGCTCATTATAATAAATTTTCTTCCGTACAGATAGGGTCTAAATGTTTTTACTGCGAATATAATAGCTAAATACTCAAGTTCAGTAGTACTATAATTGTTTTCACTTTTATTTAAAGTTCTAGATATATATGCAATAGGTAAATCCCGTGATACTTCCCCTTGGGATAATATGGCACCTAGAGCTTTTCCACTTGCATCTGTGGTAACGATAAATGGTTTTGTGAAGTCTGGATACTGTAATATAGGTTCCGAACATAGGATATTTTTTAATTTATCAAATGCTTCTTGGCAAGGGGTGTCCCAGTTAAAGGTAACGCCCTTCCTTAATAGGTTTGTCATTGGTTTGGCTATTAAGCTATAAGATTTTATAAATTTCCTATAGTACCCAGAAAGTCCCAAAAACGATTTGATTTCTTTAACGTTTGTTGGTGCTGGAAACCGTAATACTGATTCGACCTTTGCAGGATCTGGTTGTATGCCGTTTTCACTAATTATATGACCTAAATACATACACTGTTGTTTTAAGAACTCGCATTTTGCTGGTTGTATTTTTAAGTTATGATTTCGTAATCGTTCGAATACGTCGCGTAGTTTTTCGTTATGATCAAGTAACCCTTTGCCGTATATTATTATATCATCTAGATACACTAAACATTTTATGCCTACGATACCAGCCATTACATTATTCATTAATCGTTGGAAAGAACATGGAGATGTTTTAAGACCCATTGCCATTTTTTTAAAATGCCAATGACCTTGGTTAGTTGAAAAGGCTGTAAGCTCTTTGCTTTTTTCGTCTAATTTTATCTGGTAAAAACCTGAAGCAAGATCAATAATACTGAACAGATTACATTGTCCTAGCTGATCTAATATTTCGGTAATGTTGGGTAGTGGGTGGTACTCGTTTATCGTTACTTTATTCAAAGCTCGAAAATCAACAACTATTCTAAATTTTGGTATTTGACTCGCGTCTAGTTTCTTTTTTACTAAAAGTAAGGGAGCATTCCATAGTGAAAAGGAGGGTTCAATAATGTCGTCCTTTTCCATTTGTTTGATTTGAGAATCTATTTCGGCCATTTGCGCGTGTGGTAAGCGATACGGTCGCTTATATATGGGCTCCTGATTCTCCGGTATATTAATTTTATGCGTTAACGTATTTGTATATGTTAACGTGTCTCCCGTTAAATGAAATATGTTTTGGTAATGTTCACATATTTCCAAAATAGTTTGCCTTTGCTCATTATCCATATGATCGCTCCTAATCAATTGTCTTATTTCTTTTATGCGTTTATTTTTATTATCGTCTTGTACTATTGACTGAGTATTATATTCGAATTCATGATCATATCGTATTTTATTTAAATTGCTTAACATAATGCTTTGGGGTTTTTCGGTTATATTTAAAATACTAATTATTACTTCACCGTTCTGTACGGTATTTATTACACTTCCACAAAATACGCCTTCCATTATTTCTTGTTTGTGAATTAAAATATCTTTACTTTCTACATCCTTTGCAGCTATAGGTATTGATACGATTGTTTCTGATCTTGGGGTTAATAGTAACTCTTTTTGTTTATTTTTGTTAGCATTAATTACTAGAGTTTTATTGGCTAGGTTAATTACAGCGTTATTTTCTGATAAAAAACTATTTCCTAATATACCATTTTTCCTTATTGGAAAGTTTTCGTCAACTAAATTAAATTCGGTGCTAATTTCTTGCCCTTGGATTATCAAAGGTATTGTAAGCTTGCCTATTGTTTGTATTATTTTATCGTTAATTCCTTTTAAATTTACTATTTGTGTTTTATCTACTACTATATCGTAATTTAATATATTGTTTTTTACTATATTTACTTCGCTACCTGTGTCGACTAAAAATTCTAATTCTTCATTTATACAGGCGGGTGATTTACATTTTATGTGATTATTGTTGTTTATTTTCGTTAATATAATGGGGTAACAATCTCGGATGGGTCCACGGATATGTGATTGATCGCACGTGCTCCGGGGGGTACGTGAGATGTCCGCTCGTTTCCCGAGTTTTTATTACGTCGCTCGTCGTTTTGTTTTTTTATAGCAGGCGGCTATATTATGTCCTGGTTTATTGCAGTAAGTGCAGGTATCGCTCCTTGCATTATAATTAGTGGGTGGACGTGTGAAATTATTCTGATTGGGTGGTCTACTATTATACGCTACATTGTTCATTCGGCATTGCGATGCAAAATGTCCTTCGCGGTTGCATGTATGACAACGCCTAACATTGTAATTGTTGCTTCTTGGATTCGGGTTTCTATTAGTATTCCTATCGTAGGAATTGTTTCTGTTAGTATTATTATTATTAATATTATTACGATAGTTGTACGCTGTGTTTTGATTATTATTATTATTATATTGCCTATTTTGATGAGCATTTCTATTGTTGTACGTATTATTTGCGCGGAAAATTTCTTGTACATCATTGTGAGTACGAATATTTTTTTCGGTAATTAACGCGATTTGCATTGCTTGTTCAAGAGAGGTAGGACTTTTTGTTTTTACTTCAAATTTTATTTGGTCGCTTAAACCGTTTATATAACTGACTAAAGCTTGTTCCCTAATATTGTCGCGTAATATTTGTGCTACTGCCGGTGTTTTGTCTATGGCTACTGTGTTACATAGTTTTTGGTATATTTCTTCTACTCTATTGTTGTACGCGCATATGGTTTCATTATTTTTTAATTTTATTATATTTAATTCGATTTGTAAATTAGCTGCGCCATAGGGAGTTTCGAATGCGTCTAATAATATTTTTTTCATATCTTCCCATACCTTAATTTCCTTATATCTGGTTACATTAAAAGCTCTGTCTGACAATTTAGTAGCTGCTATCATTTTTAACATAAAAGGGTGTTGTTCTGAATCTACCGTATTTATGATTACTTCGCATGCATTTAAAAATGGATATATTTCAGTTTGTCCTGAATAGTTAGGAATTAATTTTATTGCGTCTAACGAACTTATGGATTTCCCGTCGGTACTACCTGGCATTTTCTTTACTTTAGCTGTTCTTTTTGGTTGAATATATTCGGTGTGTATAGTATTTCTACTACTTCGTAACCCTTGACGAATTGCGCTAGTAGTAGGACTATTTTCAAACTCTTCTAGGTTTATTAATCGTAAACTTTTATTTAATATATCACTGGTTATTGGTTTAGTTTCTATACGTTCATTAAGTATTTCTTCACTAAATAAATCTAATTCTTCGTCTAAATTATTTATTTCTATGTTGTCAACTATTTCGCTATCAGTATTGTTTACGTCAATTTCTAAATTACTTTCGTTTTCGATTATTTCAATTATTCTATCTAACGTTTCTCTAGCTATCGTTTCAAATTCGTCATTAATATTTCCTTCTGAACTATTAATAGTTCATTAATATTTATTTTTTTTTTTACTCTAATCCTTTAATTATAATCTCATTTAATATAATCTTAATTGACTTATTATTTTTTTTTATTCGATTTGGGCTTTAAATTCGGCTGGGGCTTCTACTCGGGCTGGCGGGCTTTAAACATGGGCTAGGGACTTTAAAACATGGGCTACAAAATCTACACGTGTTCTATACAATGGAGTAGCTAATTCCAAGGGAGTTGTACTTAAATAATAAGATGAACTCAAAAATATGGCCTCAATAATTAATAATAATCTCAATAATAATCTCAATAATGCCCTTTAATAGTTCACAAAATAATCTTCAATAATAATCAATAATTGCCCTTCAATAATAATCAATAAATGCCCTTTAATAATTCATAAAAATAACTACAATAAATGCCCTTTAATAACTTCAATAATATCTTAAAAAAATTGCCCCTTAAATAACTTTTTATAATATGCCCTTCAATAATATTTTAATAATATTTTTATAATAGGCCCTTTCATTAATAATTTTCCCTAATTACGATGGACCAATAGACCAAAGGAGACGGTTATATAAATTATGCTTACAACATTGCTGTATTCATCTCGTTGCTTGATCTCTCTCGCCGTAGTTGGATTGTAACAAACGTTCGGTCTTCCCAGAGTCGTTGAATTGAAGCGTGCACTCCTCAGCTCAACGGTGATCCACGAAGGTGAAGTTGCCTCTGTTGATTGAAGTTGATCCAAAATATTTCGAAAAATATTATTGAATGTTCCTTGTATCTTGGAAGACCCTGTCCACAGCGCCAAAATTCTGTTGCGTCCCAACTGACGTCGATATAATATACTAATTGCCTTATTAATTATATCGTCGAGTACTATTAGAAACCTGCGCTACGTCGTACATTGTTATTACTTAATTACTAAATACGTGGGTACGTAACAATACTTCAATAATAAAAATGCCCTCAATAAATCAATAATAACTTCAATAATAATCTTCAATAATAAAATATGCCCTCAATAAATCAATAATAACTTCAATAATAATCTTCAATAAAATTTAATACGTTTTACACCATTATACTTATAATCAACTACTTAGAATTATCTAATATGTCTTAATTACGTTGCATACGTCTATGTAACAAATTTAAATAACTATTCACTCACAATAATGCTGTGTTCCTGGGTTCTGATGACATGCTGATGATGCTGATGGATTTGTTGGTACTGCGACGTGACTTATTTGTTTTTTTTTATGGTTCTTCTTGGAGTTGTCTTTCTTCTTTGTTGACTTTAGCCTTTGACGGGTTGCCTCCTTTGAAAGAAATCCTACTTCGACTGCGCCAGTGTTACGTACGGCCTTTCAGGGATCCAAAAGCTGATGCACTTTTACAATAAAATATAGTCAATTTAAATATAAATCAATTGTAGTTTATTAAAACCAATAATAATTAATATAGTCGTGGTGAATTGCAGCGTCGTGAGTTGACTCGTTGTAGTAGTCGATAATCTCCTTGTAAGTTGTGGGTAATAGCTGGTGCATAAAGGTAAGTTTTCCCTGCAGCGTCCAAACGCAGAAAAACGAGACTCCTAGACGCAGCGTTTAGACGCAACGCGCGCCTGTTTTCTCTGCATGCGTCTCGATGCAATAAAATCTAATTTTTTTGATTAAATTGCATTCTCTTAAATTCGATCATAGTGCTTGCAACCGTGATCTAGTACACACGTACCTAAGTTTTTTTATTTATTTTCCAAATCTTTCTATCACGATGCACCGACAATTAATTTTGAACAACAATAATATAATTTGTGAGATACTCAGAGAAGAAGAAGATTTTGAAGATGAATTACTTTTAAGAATGATTCCCGAACAGAGAAATTCATTCAACAGTTTAGTATCTACGAGGAAAACCGAGGGATTTTTTAAACAATTAATCGAAGGACATCTTTTTAATAATGATATTAAATTTCGAGAATTTTTCCGTATAAATAAAGAACAATTTTATTTTATTTTATTTTATCATTGGTCAAAAAAGATCTTACAAAGGAACCAACTATGCGAGTACCTGAACCAATATCCGCCGACGAAAAATTAGCATTAACTTTAAGGTAAATATTTTAGTCAATAATATTCAAAATATGTAGATACTAGAAAATTTCACTGAATGTGTATATTATTAGCATTTTCTATACACGATAAAATTTTGAAAATAATTTGACTCTTTTTGAACTTTAAACGGACATTTTCAGTTTTCAATTTTTTTGTTTTTTTTATATAAATATCAATAAAGTTTTATTTGTTGGGTAAAAAAGCGTGAAAATTTAATGCAATAATCCTGATATAATGTTACAATAGCAGTAGAAAAATATTAAAAATACATAGGCACAATTTTTTTTTATAAGCTTTCAAAGTTCGAATTTTTATGAAACGTATTTAAATCTACTGTACAGCGCGTTATCCACTTGACTGCCATTTTTTTTTTAAATTTTACTAATTTATTAAGAGGATGTCACAGTAGACAAAATATGGCATAAAAACATGGTTTCGTACTTCCAGGAATACGGCTTATTGAAGCGTTTTACGGTATAAATACCTATTACAAAAATTGTAGAGGAGAATTTTTTCTAGAAACGTAAGAAGTCCGATTTTCGATATTTTTATTAATTAGTTAAATAATTAATTGATAAAAAGTTAAAAAAAACGTGTTTATTTACCATGCGATATTGGACGATTGGAACAAGATATCAAAAATCGGGCTTCTTACGTTTCTAGAAAAAATTCTCCTCTACAATTTTTTTAATAGGTATTTATACTGTAAAACGGTTCAATAAGCCGTATTCCTGGAAGTACGAAACCATGTTTTTCGGTAAAAAAACGTTTAATTACGCCCGTCATGTGCTGCGCCCGTTACAGCCAGCGGCAGCGCTCGATACTAGGTGTTCATACCACCACCCCGCGCGCGTAACGGCAGTGCCGCACCATGGTCAAAACAGGTTTGCTATCGCAGCCGTGCGCCTGTACATAGTTTATAAATAACCAGATAAGAAAATGATTATTATATTTGTGACAAATATTATTTAATTTGGTTCGGTTTTATATTTTCTATTCGTATCCGAATTTTATACTAATAAAAACTATACTTTTGTTCTTCAAGTAATACGGCGTATTGAAGTGACTTACAACAAAACTACCTATTATAAAAATTGTAGAGGATAATTTTTTTAACAATCGTAAGAAATCCGTTTTTTGATATCGTATTCTAATCGTCCAATATCACATGGTAAACTAACACGGTTTTTAACTTTTTATCCATTAATTATTCAACTAATTAATAAAAATATCGAAAAACGGGCTTCTTAAGATTGTTAAAAAAATTCGTCTCTACAATTTTTATAATAGGTAGTTTTGCTGTAAACCGATTCAATAAGCCGTATTACTTGAATAATCGAACTATTTGGGTATGATAAAAAAACTAATTATTACAATATTACGATATCGGAATAATTAATAATAATATAAGAAAAAAGGCGGGCAAGTGGGTGTCACTCTGCTGTACAGTAGGTTACAAGTGGGTCACTGTATAATGGATGATATTAAATTTGAATTCAACGATACAATATCATTGTATAAGAAAAACGATTCTGAGAGGAGACCCGAGACGGTATGTCAGTCTAGGTATAAGACATATTATAATATTATATACATATCTGCAATAAGGTACCTATAATAAATTCCAAATTAATCATATCACAATATCCATTAGGTACTTATAACGCGTTATACATCAACAAAAACCGTGATACTATCATAGATACATAATAGTACACTTTAGAAGTTTCAAGTACCCATGAATAATATTATACATTCACAACAAATAAGTAAAATAGTTATTCTAGGTTTTTTAATAAGTAATTTCGTCCAAATTTGAATTTAAAAAGTCTGTAAAAAATAACTGTGTTGATATATTTTTTAGATTTTTTGGTTACAGTATGAACTATTTATGAGAACCTTTGTTTTAAATTTGCAATCCTTAGCTATAAAAACTGAACATTTTTTAATTTATTAATTATGATGATTAATAATTTTCGAGATTTTGAAAAATTCTGTCAAAATTCGATGTTTAAATGCTTATAAAAAAAAAATTGTACCTATGTATTTTTAATATTTTTCAACTGATTTTGTAACAATATATCAGGAGCCTTGTATTAAATTTTTACACTTTTTGGCCCAACAGATAAAACTTTATTGATATTCATAGAAAAAAAAACTAAAAAAATTGAAAAATGAAAATATCCGTAAACAGCTCAAAAAGAGTCGAAATATTTTCAAAATTGTATGGTGTATAAAATGCTAATATAAACATTCAGTGACATTTTCATGTATCTATAGTTATTCGTTTATAAATAACAACAAAATAAGGAAATCGCTACATGAGAAATCGAGTGAACATCCAATGTTGTAAAAATTTGAATTTCAAACGCTCATAAAAATTTAATTTGACCGTCTGGTAGAGATTTTTTTATTGATAAAGGTAGACAAACTTATGAGTAATCTTGTATTACATTTTCAAATCTTAGATTTAAAAAGAAAAATTTTTGCGAATTCTTAACTCAAAATAATTTGCTAATTTTCGTGATTTTTCCATATTTTGTCAATTTTTGAACTTTAAATGCTTATAAAAAAAACTGTGACTAACGATTTTTAATATTTTTCATCTGCCATTGAAACAATTTGAAATTTTTACTTTTGACCCCCCCCCCCCCCCCAAAGTACCAACTAGATTCACTTTCCTATCAGAAAAGCTACTGATGAAGAAAATCCAAGCACTTTTACTGTCCTAAAACGTGATGACAGAGACAAAAAAAAATAAAAAAAAAAACACACATCATTGTAAAACCAATACATTCATCGCTCCGCTCAGAATCTAAAATAAAAAAATAAAAAACACACATCATTGTAAAATCAATACATTCATCATTCCACTCTGCAGAATCTAAAATTCAATTTTATTTTTAGATAACAAAATTATAATTTCTTATAGTTTTAATGTTTTTTTTAGCTCTATAACTAGAAGGGCAAGGGCATAATATTATAGTTGCTTTTTAAGTCTTTTTTATGTTTTTTTTTTTAAAATTGGTACACAAAACGGTTATTATCTATGGCGTTTTCAGTCTGTTGTCGTTTTTGATCAATTAGCCCCTCACGAACAACTGGACATGATTACGACTTCTGCGGTATCAACGAGGGGGTCCGTCTATAGATATAGAACAATGTTAATATCATTTAGGTTAGGTTATAGGAACAATTTTAATATCATTGGAAAGTGAATATCGTTGGTGCATTGGGGAGGTCAACATTTAAAATTCGCAATAATTTTCAAAAGCGCCAAGAAAAACAAAAGAAAAATTAAGGAAAAACGGGAATTTTTACGCAAAATCGATTTTGGTTTTAGGGGTAACTTTAAAACAAATGACCGTAGATACATGAAATTTTCAGTGGTTGTTTATATTTGCATTTTCTATACACGATAACATTTTCAAAATATTTTAATTTATTTTGAACTGTTTGGGACATTTTCAGTTTCCTATTTTATTAGTTTTTTTTTTTTATGAATATCAATAAAAATGTATTTGTTGAGTAAAAATACTTGAAAATGTAATACAAGGCTCCTACTATATTGTTTCAAAGACAGATGAAAATATTAAAAATCGTTAGTCACAGTTTTTTTTTAAGCATTTCAAAAAATGACAAAATATGGAAAAATCACGAAAATTTGCAAATTATTTCTAGTTAGAAATTCATAAAAATTTTGCTTTTTAAATCTAAGATATGAAAATGTAATACAAAATTCCTTATAAGATTTCCTACAAAAAAAAAAATTCTATAAGAAAGTCAAATTAAATTTTTATGAGCGTTTGAAATTCAAATTTTTACAACATAGGATATTCACTCGATTTCTCATGTGGCGATTTCCTTATTTTGTTGTAATTCAAAAACGAATTACTGTAGATACATGAAAATTTCACTGAATGTTTATATTAGCATTTCCTATACACCATACAATTTTGAAAATATTTTGACTCTTTTTGAGCCGTTTACGGACATTTTCAGTTTTCAATTTTTTTAGTTTTTTTTTCCTATAAATATTGTAATAAGCTTGGATGCTTGGTACCTACTATCGTAGTACTAATAGTAGATAAGTGGCAACCAAGTTATTATGATTGCAGGTCGCAGACACTTTATTAGATGTTGTAGTCGTGGATGATGAATAAATAAAAGACAGATGTTAATTATTGTGAATTTTATTTTAACGTTGATAATTTTCTAAGTCCAAATAATATTAGACAGAGTGGCGTGAAGGTGCTTGCACTAGTGGTTGGTAGAACACGTCTGAATACAGGTCGTTTCGGGCTCCCTTTTATATGAAGTTCCCCTTACCCTTTGCCTATAGATACTGTATCTCGGCACACGGATGTGATCTGGTGTGGTCATCGTTCCAGCCCACGCATTTTATGATTTCCCAGTATTATTAAGCGTATTACTAAATGTTAATCTATGGTCTGTTTCATTTAAATAATCATTTTACTCTATTATATTTTTATATTGAATATCGTCGCGTACCGTGTTGTAATAAAAATAATCACTTTACTATTTTATATTTTATATTTGTACATTGTCGTATACAGGGCTTCCTGAGTAATTATATTATTCAGTGAGCCTGTTTCCTTATGTTAACCAGTAGGAAATCCTATTTCCGATTCTGATATCCGATATATGCCGAATTACAGTATAGTATACTAATCGTACACCTGTGGAATTTGTTTTATTTGTTAAGTAGTAACTCGCTTACTAAAATATCAATAAAGTTATATCTGTTGGGCCAAAAAGTGTAAAAATTAATACAAGGCTCCTGATATATTGTTACAATAGCAATTGAAAAATATTAAAAATACATAGTTATAATTTTTTTTTATAAGCATTTAAAGATCGCATTTTGATAAAATTTATCAATCATCGTAATTAATAAATTATAAAATGTTCAGTTTTTATAGCTAAGGATTGAAAATTTAAAAAAAAGATTCTCATAAATAGTTC